ATATATAGTGTGTGTGTGTGTGTGTGTGTGTGTGTGTGTGTGTGTGTGTGTGTGTGTGTGTGTGTGTGTGTGTGTGTGTGTGTGTGTGTGTGTGTGTGTGTGTGTGTGTGTGTGTGTGTGTGTGTGTGTGTATGTGTGTGTGTGCCATCATTACCATCACCATCACCACCACACTGCTCTTAATAATGCGTGATGATTGACAGATGCTCGATTCACACTAGGCACTTAATATCAAGATGTGTGAAGGAGTGGAATAGATATGAGTCTAAAACCATGATACCTGGCTTGACTGAAATTTAGTTTTTAATAATAATAGAGTTTTTTATATTCTTAACCAAGACAGACTGGCAACATAAACAGACAATAACAAAGCAGACCTTACACGAACAGACAAAAACAAAGGGAAGTATACATACCCCAAGCTCTATTTCAGGGCGCTCATTTTCTTTTCCGATGTCCACAGCCTCCATCTTCGCTCAGCTTAAGCTTTCAAAGTCATTCGCCAGTCGGTATGGGCAATTATGTTTACATATATGGCATGTCAAGCACGACTGACGTAGACTCACACACGCGTGCGCAGCAAAGACTATGCACGGGATGTCCACAGATGAAGACACTTTAGTATTCATTAGGAGACCTGAAAACAGGAAGTATTCATAAAATAATCAAAATCAATGATTATCTCTCCGAGATTTCTTGAGAAATCAGTTTTAAAAAATCCCGCCCATTTATTAACCAATCGCATCTGGTTTATTTATGTAACTGTAAATATTGCTTTGCAGAATTGCAGTAGGGATCACTGCTGGGGACTTTGGGGGAGGAGGGGGGAATCGGCCTATAAAAAAATACTTCAAAAAAAATTGAATTTCCATAGCTCGTATGTACACAGCGCGAACACACACCGTATGTTGGGTTGTGCACGAAGAGACTGTACAGATAATATGTCAGCCGAGAGTGCTTACGCGTTCGTGACAGTCGGATCAACCGAATTCGACAAGCTGATAGACGCGGTATGGTAGCGTACGGTGGAATTAGACCATATGCAGCGATACAGTGATTATGAGGCAATCAGCTAATCAATTATACACCGCTTCTATCTGAACCGAGATTATAGATAGTTTAAAAGTGTCAACCTGAACATATGTGAACCGCTGTTTTAGATCAAGTGTGTCCGCAGCAGCTCCATCAGCCTTGAGAATATACTGCTTTGAGCATATGATGTGCTCACGATGCGGTTTCTGATAGGATTTACCAGTACGAACTCTCTTTGTCAACATAAATTCGTATCTTATTGTATCTTTCTGGAGATTTTCAACCCTCTCAGAATTCAAACAGTTGTGCGCGCATGAAACAGGTTCGAATTCTTCCCCAAAGTATTTACCACGGATACTTGATGTTGACTTAGCACCATTTGACAACAACGCATAGTCCTCGAGCGCGTATGCGTGCGATTATGCAACCAGTCAAGTGCGAGTCCAATATTTAGCGCATGCAACGTCATATGTACATGTAATAAGATTATGTAATATCTGTTCTTCTGTTCCTTTCATGTATCTTGTACTGCCTGCACGCAGCACTCACAGCACTACTCGCGTTTTCCTATACCCTTCGTTGGACTGGGGTTTTGTTAGCCAATTCGTTGCTCTACTTAGTGTATAGCATATCTACGGCCCAATAGGTTTCTACCATAGGAGGAACAATAAACTGAACTAAAATACCACGATAGCTTCTGTCACGAAATAGTACTGTGCGTTCTACCGTACGATATTATAGTGAGGCCTACTGACCCCAAGGGCTGATTATGGTATCCATTTATGCTAGGTGTTGGCAGATGAGGTACTACTTGAACTCAAGAGAAGGGGGATACAGCGGCTATTGTTGCAAATTGGTCGAGGAAGTGAGGATTCTGTTCGAGAATGCTGCGCAGCCAACAACACGGCGATACCGATAACATACTACAGGTTCAAGTCTTCCCTGCTAGAAGATATTAGCAGTGCAGACTTGGTCATTAGTCACGCTGGTAGGTCTATTCCGTATTTTTTGATAGTTTACGACTGTGAGTGCTCAACCAAGTTCAATTTCTCGGAGGGAGCTTAGGAGGTGCTTCGTACTTAATTCAATTGACAGATAATAGAAGGTAAAGTAGATCTAATTTCTTTATATTATTGCTTGTGGTCTGTCTAACTTCCGACAGGATCCGGGACGATACTAGAGTCGCTTGGGGCGAAGCGGAAATTGGTGGTAATTGTCAACGAGGATTTAATGGATAACCACCAGATAGAGCTGGCACAGCAGCTGAAAGCCATGGGTCATATTGCCTTTGGAACGTCCAGGTATTTACATATCTATGGCGGTACAGTACTAAAATTGCGGTGAAAGCCTGGTCCCTGCTCTTATCTATGTGGGTAGTATATACACAATATCTATGGTTGGCCTGTGCCATGAGCAAGCGGATTTAAGATCTACCATTCTCTACTACAAACACAATACCTGTGCCACCAACACAACTGTATGTGCTGACGGGTCGATGGATTCTGTATGCCCTTTCTGGACCCTACTTGTGAAACCTATTTACCGTATCCTGCAATCTCCTTTCACAGAACTCTACCAAGCCTGCTCGAAGACGACCAAACATGGGGCCATCTGCTCGACTACCCCGATAGAGACCCTTCGATATTTGCGAACTATGTGAATAAGCAGCTTGGTTTTGAATAGCACAAATAATGCTTACAGCTGCTGTTATACATAGGCATAAACTCGCGGGTGTGGAGATCGCTAAGGCTTAGTTGTGTTATTTTGTAATGATTCTTCAAGGCCGTCAGGTCGGGCAACCCTGACATTCTCCCAGTTTTCTAGATCCATGTCACTGAGGCGCTGCAAGTGTAAAGTAGACCGGGTGGTAACCCCAAATTATATATGTGCAGTATACATAGACAACGTATAGACTGCACACGGTTAGACCACCACGTGGTTGCAGTTAAAATAATGAGTTCACATCCTGAAACAACCGCAATATCTAAGATCTCGTACATATTATAACGTACAAAGTATACGTGCTTACCTCATATTCTGCTTGCATGTCGAACTTGCGTTTGTTCTTCTCTAAGTGTGCTAGCTGCTCCTTCGTGAACTGTAAGAAGTGATGTCAAGAAAGGGGAGATTGATGATCATCTACAGTATCTAGCAGACATAACCACACACAGAATCGAAGTGTGGTGTCCTTCCTGTCTCACTCAAGGTGTTTACAGCATACCTTGGAGACATCGATCTCGTGCTTTTCGTACCGGGTTGAGGTGAATTCTGCAAGACCATAGGCGCCTCCAACCTGTGCGAGATAAGTAAATTGATATTGAGTTTTCTTACGGCCCTCTATGAGTGCACAGTTTTTGTACATCCCTCTTATGAAATCAATGTTCAAATGAACAGAAATATATGATATAATAGTAACAAGCGCGATCCGTACCATCATGACAAGAAAAGGCAAGCCGAACTTGAAGAATGGTTGGTCTAATGTTCTGCGGACTCTGCTCATCTTTCTTTCTGGGAAGATACGCTCTGACGTCGTAGAGGTGAATTAGCAGGATGCTTCGGTTTACAGCGACGCTTGTTGCACTTGTTCCGAGTTAATTTGAGTGTGCAGACTGTAGACTCGCACACAATCATTAAAAATTAAATACATATATATTCACTTCGATATTTTTGTCAACCCCAGACCCCACGGGCCCCACCTTTTCCCGGTGTCTCCTTCGTATTTATTTTTTAAAATATATAGCCGTCACGGATCAGGGATGACTTCAATACTAAATAACTTTGGTTCGCTATTATGATTGCACGGGTTGCTATTGTAGGCGCAGGCCGTGTTGGGACTACCCTCACGCGTGCTTTAGTTGAAGCCCAGTATGATGTTGTCTCAGTCATGTCACGGACGCTGGGCTCGGCACAGAAGGCTGTAAATACAGCAAATGAGAATAATTCCACCGCCGTAGACAAGATAGCAGATGTGAGTGTAGCTGCGTGTACACACGCATCTCTGTCGGGTCAGTGTGTTCGTGGCAGATATCGCACTCGTAGTATATGGTTTATAAGTACAGCCTTACTTCTGTAGTTCTATGTAATATTCACGCCAAAAAAAACCCCCCCATGAGCTCCTTTCCGCTTCTCTTAGTCAGCATGAGCAAGCAAGCAATTGTTCGATATACACAGTGTGCGTGAATTCTCTGGTGGAACTTCTATGTAAGGTACCATATTCGTGCTAACGCTGTCTGGTGGAAAAGTCGAAGTGCTTTCCTCGCCTACCGTTTCGTCCGTGGACGTCATTTGATTGAGCTTGTGTGATTGCGCTTATGTGATTTCGCTTATGTGTTTCCCACTGTAGTAATCGAAAGTATTTAATATGAACACAACGCATACGACACTACCGAACTAATTCATCATTGCACTGTCTTTCTTGATATGCTGAATTCCATGATTGTTTAATATCGGTTTGCGTTAGTACGTAGACACATTGTATAATTTTGAAGCCTGCTTGCAGGCGCCCGATGTATTCTCTATTTATCTGGTACCTAAGCAAGGGTCAAGTTGGCATTCATCAAATATTGCTTGGTGTGCGATATGTTCAACTTCTTCCCTGACCCCTCGCTAGATATGATATAATACAGTATAGCTGTGGTAGAAAGAGGGTGTCATACATTCCCATCTGTCGCTTATTTGTGCTGAATTTTCTGGTGTTGCTTTTAGATTGCAGCGTCGGATATAGTATTCCTGACGGTACCAGATGAACTGATCAAAGCAACAGCACGCGAAATCATGGAGAGCGCGGTGGATACCAAGGCTATCTGTCATTGTTCTGGTGCCAAATCCAGCGCCGAGTTACAATTTGCTGCCGACGCTGGAATGCGCGTCGCATCTATGCACCCGCTGCAGTCGTTCGCCGACGTATGTGTCTCGCTTCAGTTTGCGTTTACAAGAGTAGTCCATTGCGCTGTTATGAATTGAAGTTTTAAATCTGTCTGTAACGATTCAATCGGACAGACTTGTAAATAGTAACACATGCTTCGATCGATACACACTTACTGCTGAATGGAAGCCAGGTACCGCTATGGCCAATTTACCGGGTACGTATTGGGCCCTAGAGGGGGTGGAAGGGTTGACGGATGAACTACAGACTATGATACAACGGTTGCAAGGAATTTGCCTACCAATCAAGCGAGATCAGAAAGTGGCATACCACGCAGGTTAGTGCCATAGCGGTTCCCATGTCGTTTGTGGTGACAAGTTCGTTTCTAGGCTGAATTATATTTAGTGCTTGTTAACAACTTGTGTGAATGTATAGTAGGTAAGGAACACATAAAATGTAAGCGCCTCTCTTTGTGGATCCGTTCGCTTTCTTTGGACTGCTATCAACCTGGACAGCACTTCAACGTATAGCACTTTAAATATACAATTAAATAACATGTATCAAAGTTGGCCATTTAATCCGCACTCTCCCCTCAGGTGCTGTACTGGCATGCAACTATCTGTACACCTTGGAATCGATAGCAACAAAAGTCATGTCACAGTCAGGAATACCACCGGAGGACTGTCTGAAAGCCCTCATGCCGTTGCTGCAAGGGACCCTGAATAACATGGGCTCCGTAGGCCTGCCCCAGGTAAGCACTTTTTTAGTACTGTTGTCCTTTCCTGATTTCCTACATGGACCGCATATGGTCTGTATCCATTAGTATTTGTAATCGGTTATAAGGATTTTAATGGGCCAGCGCTGGAACATATTGAGTGTACCAAATAGCTCTTATGGACCCACATTGACAGGCTCTGTCGGGACCCATCTCAAGAGGTGACATACACACCGTCGAGCAGCATTTAAGCAACCTCTCAAGTATAAGCTCGCCTGAACGTGCAAGAGAAGTCTACTCTCTCATGGGCATGGAGGCCATTGACATGGCAACTAAGCAAATAACAGGTATCGATTCAGACACCGCTGAGCGGTTGCGTTCCTTACTGGACCCGCAGAAGAAGTATTCGAATCAATAAACTATGCCAACATTTGGTGGTTTGTTTTATTTTCCTGGCTACATGTCGATCTTATGGAACAAAAGGTTTAATGGTCTACCAGCAAAGGTCAATCGAAGTTAAGTATCTAAATCGGAAACATTGAGCTAGTTGCATGATTGTAACGACTATACGTTGCATGATTGTAACGACTATAAGTTGGATAATTTTAACGACTATAAGCAGCATTACATAGTTTATGAGACTCGCCCGACCTGGGTCCACTCGCTGAGGTTTGTAGTGGTTTTGGGATGTCGCAATCGAACGATTTTTTCTACCACCCTCCTACCGTCTCTAATGTGTCCTGCTGATATTCTCTTTACTGTATAGTATCGACGAGATAGGATATAATATCCTCTATCCAGAACTGCCCCAAAGAAAGAGGGCTTACAAGCAGAATATATTGCCAACATTGTTCACACATACATATATATCAGACATAGTGGTCGCAGTCTTAATTGGTCTCACAAATATTTATGAATATTTATG